ACAGAGAGGGAGAAAGGGGAGGGAGAGACAGACAGACTGACAGATTGATTTTCCGACTTGCTGGTTCACTCCCCAGATGCACACAACAGTCAGGGTTGAGTCAGGTTGAAGCCAGGAACTCCAGGGCTCTGCCTGGGTGGCAGGGGCCATGCCTGCTGCCCTCCCACGTGCACCAGCAGGAAGCTGGACTGGAAGCAGGCTAGCAAAATGGCACTGCCGCTGTCACAAGTAGCCACTTAACCCGCTGCACCAAACAGCCCCTCGGTCTGTTCACTTGGACAGGAAGTGGAGCACCATGTGTGGAACCAACCTCCTGGCAGGTGCAGCTGCCCATAAGCAGGGGCCTCCACACTGGCCAGGAGGAGGGTCTGCTCCGGCTCTCTGCCCGACCAGCCGTCAGCAAAGTCACGTTCCATGGGCCTCAAGATACAGAAATTCATCCTCTGCTTGGCGCGTGGGCAAACCCTGGTGGGGACACGCTTCATCTCCAGACGGACACGACAGGGCTCGGGCAAACAGCCTGCAGGCTCGGCTCTGGCCCCACAGACCCTTCCCGGCGCTGAGCCTCGCTCTCGGCCAGGCCGTATTTTGCTCCCGTGACCTTCTGCCATAGCTGCGCTCAGGGGCTCCTCTAGTCAAAAAGGGGAGAACACATCAAGGTTTCGGGCCAACGTGTAAGGATCCAGAATGCAGCACAGCAGCAATGCTCACGCGACCCAAAAGGCCATCGCGGTGCCGGGACTGGTCACCTGCCAACCTCCACACGGGCAATGCCACACCGCTGAGGTGCCTGGCAGCTCACCTGCCAGGACCCCCCCGCCCTGCTCCCCCACCCAGGGCAGCACAGGACAGCGGGGGCCTCCACTGCCCCGTGCCCGGGCAGGCGTGGGGCACAGTGAGGAAGCCGCCTGGCATGCCCACACCCCACCCAGGAGCGCCTGGGTTTGAGTCTCAGCTCGTGCTGAAATCCCGCTTCCTGCTAACACAGACTGACGGCCTTGGCCACGACTCACGTGGCTGGTCCCCGCAGCACGTGGGACACTGGGACTGTTCCTGGCAGCCAGGTCATCCCGGCCACAACTCTAGGACCTTGTGCGACAGCAGGACCACCCTGGCAACAGAAGGCCACGCAGCATGGCTGAAGCCGGGCCTGACTGGTTCACACAGAAGCTGGGTAGGGGTCGCCACTGTGGTGCAGCAGAGAAAGCCACCGCCTGTAACGCTGGTATCCCACATGGTGCCAGTTAGTGCCCTGGTTGTCCACTTCCGGTCCAGCTCTCTGCTGATGCACCTGGGAAAGCAGCAGAAGATGGCCCAAGTGCTCGGGCCTTTGAACCCACATGGGAGACCTGGAAGAAGCTCCTGGCTCCTGGCTTAGGCCTGGACCAGCCCCAGCCATTGTGGCCATTTGCAGAATGAACCAGCAGATGGATGATCTGTCTCTCTCTGTAACCCTGACTTTCAAATAAATAAATAAATCTTAAAAGACAAAAAAGCACCGTGTGTCTGTCCATGCCTTAATCACACACCGAATGCTCAAGCAACGTTAACTCTCATTGCACATGCAGGGCAGAGCAGCCAGCGTAGCTGAGCACTGACCTACGGGGCACTCGGTGCTGCACTGCACGCCAGTGGTTGTGGGGAAGGCAGCAGCGCCTGCTGTATACACAGTGATGCAAGTGGGGGTGTGTGCACCCTTCACGCTACAATGTGCCATGATAATGCTCTCAAAATCATACAGCTTAATTACGTCAGCTGACATGTTCTATGAACTTCCTTTTAGAATTAAAAAGGGGAACGAATGAGCACTTGTTACAGAAGGAACACTGGCGGCAGAGGCAGCGAGGATGCTCACAAACCGCGTCCGAGTTTCTGCACGAGACCACCTTCCTCAGCCCCTCCCAACCTCTGAGCAGGCACCGTCTGCGGGAACTCAACAGGGTGGCACTCCCCCCACCACCTCAGAAGACCCCCGTGCGCTCAGGCAACCCCACCAGCCTCTCAGAAGACCCCTGCATGCTCAGGTGACCCCGACCTCCCCCCTCAGAAGACCCCCATGTGCTCAGGAGGCCCCTGACCTCCCCCCTCAGAAGACCCCCGTGTACTCAGATGACCCCTGACCTCGCTTCAGAAGACCCCCGTGTGCTCAGGCGACCCCCGACCTCTCCCCTCAGAAGACCCCCATGTGCTCAGGCGACCCCTGACCTCCCCCCTCAGAAGACCCCCGTGCGCTCAGGCAACCCCGACCAGCCCCCTCAGAAGACCCCGGCATGCTCAGGTGACCCCGACCAACCCCCTCAGAAGACCCCCGTGTACTCAGGCGACCGCTGACCTCCCCCTCTCAGAAGACCCCTGTGTGCTCGGGCAACCTCTGACCTACTCACCTCAGAAGACCCCTGGTGTGCTCAGGCGACCCCCGACCTCCCCCCTCAGAAGACCCCCGTGTGCTCAGGCGACCCCTGACCTCCCCCCTCAGAAGACCCCCGTGTACTCAGGCGACCCCTGACCTCACCTCAGAAGACCCCCGTGTGCTCAGGCGACCCCTGACCTCCCCCCTCAGAAGACCCCCGTGTGCTCAGGCAGCCCCTGACCTCCCCCCTCAGAAGACCCCCGTGTACTCAGGCGACCCCTGACCTCGCCTCAGAAGACCCCCGTGTGCTCAGGCGACCCCTGACCTCCCCCCTCAGAAGACCCCTGTGTACTCGAGCGACCCCTGACCTCCCCCCTCAGAAGACCCCCGTGTGCTCGGGTGGCCCCAACCTCCCCCCTCAGAAGACCCCCGTGTGCTCAGGCGGCCCCCGACCTCCCCATCTCGCATGCTCAGGGTGACCCCAATATCTATCCTCAGAAGACCCCCGTGTGTTAAGACGAGGGGGAGGCAGTGGCATAAGCAGGATTCTGCCTGAAACTGAAAACCAAGCCCCCCAGCGGGGGTCAGGGCCCAGAGGGCCCCTGGAGAGAGCCTCCCTCTGGCGCCGAGGAGGTGACAAGCAGGGCTTCCAGGAAGGGACATGTTGTAGTTACTACTCTACATCTATTCCTGTTTCATTCCACACCAGCCGGAAAAGGAGAGAGCAACACCTCACACTCTGCTGCCAGAACTAGTTCTCGTCTTCGGGAAGCACAGAAACACAAAGTCCTGGTGGCAGCCACTTATTAACAGGAGGGGCCTGCTCCACGCTGCTGCGATGTTTTATAGCTCCCAGTGCTTTCTCGGCACACACACCAGCCAGCTCCTTCTGGCCTGTGACTTGCTCTATGCCTTTAAGAACAATTTATTTGTGCAAAGGATTATAAATAATTCATTCCTCCAGTGCGTGCTTACATTGTATAAAAATACTTGCCTTTCACTACACAGCATAATTAATGCAGTGCTTTAGCTCCACGGCATGTTAAAAATAGGCAGCCATAAATTACACCTAACTTAGCAATACGAAACCCCACGTCTCTCTCCGCCTCGCTCCACGCTGGCATTCTCACTGTCTTCCAAGAAACTGGTTACAGAGGAACTGATTTCATGTCACTGATCGAACTGAGAGAAAGGCTGTGGGAGCAAATGAAATGCCACCCCACAGGGCAGCCACGGAGAGAGTAACCCTCACCCCACAGGGCACAGCTATGGAGAGTAGCCCTGACCCCACACGGCAGCCACAGAGTAACCCTGACCCCACAGGGCACAGCCATGGAGAGAGTAACCCTGACCCCACAGGGCAGCCATGGAGAGAGTAGCCCTGACCCCACAGGGCACAGCCATGGAGAGAGTAACCCTGACCTCACAGGGCACAGCCATGGAGAGAGTAGCCCTGACCCCACAGGGCAGCCACAGAGAGAGTAACCCTCACCACACAGGGCACAGCCATGGAGAGAGTAACCCTGACCCCACAGGGCACAGCCATGGAGAGAGTAACCCTGACCCTACAGCACAGCCACAGAGAGAGTAACCCTCACCCCACAGGACAACATGGAGAGTAACCCTCACCCCACAGGACAGCCATGGAGAGAGTAGCCCTGACATTGGCCTGCCCATTCTCTGCTCGTACTCCAGCGGTCAGATATGGCCACATCCCCAGTCCCCAAACACAGCAAACCCCAGCCGCCGCCTCCATCCACACTCACTCCCTGGTGACCTCTGTGGTCCCAACGGCTCCAGGTGCTGCCCCGCGTCAACAGAACACAGGAGCACGCCGGCATCCCCTGGCCACGGCCCGCTGGAGGCCACTTCCTTCTTCCTCTCCCCTGGTCTGAACCCACGAGACAAACTTCAGCGTGAACCCTCTCAAGTCAGTCAATCCACAGAAGCCACATGAAACCCTCACACATCCCACTCGCTTCCTGGGACCCCAGCATTTGTCTCTGGGTGAGTGTCTGTCACTGCGCCTAAGACGCTGCTTGGGACACAGGCATCCCTCATTGGAGTGTCTGGGCTGGGGTCCCGGCTCCACTCCTGACCCCAGCCTCCTGTGGGGGCACACCCGCAGGCAGCAGGTAATCGCCAAGTACCTGGGTCCCAGCCACCCACGTGGGCAACCAGGGCCAAGTTCCTGGATCTCAGCTTTGCCCTGGTCTAGGCCCAGTTGTGGACATTTGGGGAGTAAAGCAGTCAGGATATCTCTCCTTCAAATACATGAATTGATAGATGAATAAGTAAATGAATAAATTTAACAAACACGCATTTTCCTCTCAAAAGAGGAAGTCGGCTCACGTCGCAGTCACCAAACCCAGAGTACTGAAGGAACTTTCTTTTAATCACTCAAACAAAATAATAATTGCCAGCAAAGGCTTTGAACAGGTCTGGCCTGGCGCCCGGCACAAAGCATGGACACAATCCCTGGTGCCCAGAACCACAGCCAGGCTGGGGGCGCCCGTGGACGGCCCAAGCCACTGCAAGCTGGAGATGGACTACCAGCTCCCGGGGCCCGTGCTCATCAGCCAGAGGCTCACACCCGAGAGGAGCGGGCCAGAGCCGCCAGTCCCAGCAGGGTCTACAGGTCGTCACTTACCTGGCCCTTTGCTTAGTTTTTATTTTGGTTCTGGTCCCCAGGCAATGCTTCCTTCAACACGAGCGGCCGGAGACAAAGTCCCAGCAGGACCGAAGCTGGGTGGTGCCCACTCCAACGCCGTCACTCTGTAACAAAGACCCTGTTACTCCGTGCTCCATCAGAGGTTTTGAGCTCTTTAACAATACACACCCTTAATTAAACTGCTAGTCATGTAGGTGGACTTTAATGACACAATGTTTAGAGCTAAAATATACATTATACTGGTTCCATTTTTTAAAAATATGTTTTAACAAAACTCTTAGGAGTTCTTTGAAGCAATGCAGATATTGCAATAATTGTGGATTTTATAATAATGTCACTCTGCAAGTAGAAAAACAAATTCTTTAAAATAAAAAAAAAAAAGAGTTCTTCCTGGGACTGGCACTGTGGCACAGCAGGTCAAGTCACTGCCTATGATGCCGGCATTCCACATGAGTGCAGGTTCAAGTCCTGGCTGCTCTACTTCTGATCCAGCTCTCTGCTGTGGCCTGGGAAAGCAGTAGAAGATGGCCCACGTGCTTGGGCCCCTGCACCCGTGTGGGACATCCAGAGGAAGCTCCTGGCTCCCGGCTTCGGATCAGCCCAGCCCCAGCTGTTGAACCATTTGGGGAGTGAACCAGCAGATGGTAGCCTTCTCTCTCTGTCTCTCCCTCTATAACTCTGCTTCTCAAATAAATAAAATAGCTTTTTAAAGGTGCCTGGGATGACCCTGCACTCACGTGGAGACCAGGATGGAGTTCCAGGCTCCTGCCTTCATGTAGCCCGGCCCTGGCAACTGCAGCCATTTGAGTCATGAACCAGCAGATGAAGATCTCTGTCTCTCCCTCTCTGTAATTCTGCCTCTCAAGTAAACAAATAAATCTTTGAAAAGCAATCCTCTTCCTGAACACAAGCTTAAGTGACTTTAAGCCATTCCACACAGGGAACGTGCAGCGAGCAGTCACGCCACACTCTGCCCTCCCACAACGTACACATGCACATCCCCTCCACCAACACCAGGGGGAGACACGCTAAGGAGCAAGCCCAGCAGGATCTCCTGTCTTCCTCAGAACAAAACCCAACACCCAGCCCAAGCACAGCCACGGACCCTACGTGCTCCTTGCCCCCACCCTGCAGGTGAGACACTGCAGCGCCCAGGCCCTGGCAGCCAGGACTGGGAACCACAGCCCCACTTCCAGGCCGCCTCGGCAAACCACAAAGGGACGACTTCAAATGCCGGTATCAAAATAGAATCATATAATTCGTTGATCTGGGGGCAAAAAAAAAAACAAACCAGAAATCCACACAAAAGAGAGGCTTCCAAAAATGTCTTCAGCAAAATGAATTTATCTTTAATTCCATTTTCCATGACCTTTGCACAGCCCTGAACACGATGTGGGTGTTTCTCTTTGAAAAGCAAACGGATGCCCAGAGGGAGGGCAGGTGCAGTGGTGAGCCCCTCAGGGAGAGGGCTCCAGTGCAGCCAGCAGGAGGGCCGCTGTGAGGCCAAGGGGCTCCACCCACGTGATTCTGTAATCATGGACGTGGCCGAGCCGCCGCGAGCTCCCTGCCACACCAGTGACTGTTTCAGGCCCTCCGAGGACTGAGCACGCCTGCCACACACCTGGCCTGGGGCCTGCAACGGCCTCTGCTGGGCAGGCCTTAGGCATGGCAGTGGGCTGGCCCACCTGACCCCAACACAGTGTGTGTGCACTGGCCACGGTCATCCTGTCCACCCCTGACAGTCCCCACTGTCACCACAGCAGACTAATGCTCCCAAGGGATCTGCCTGCTGTCCTCATCACCACGCCTGTCAGAAGGGCCCAGGAAGTCAGGTCAGTACTGTCCTCACCCCATCAGCATTGCAGCTCCGGGACCACCCACGTCCACCTGGCAAAGGCCACACCACGAGGTGACCCTCAGCCACCACCACCACCAGCGCCCAGGGCCTGGCCCCTGCTGCAGTTCCAGTGACCTCAAAGGCCACCAGGTCTGCAGGCCTGGGAGGAAGCCTGGAGCCCTGCCGCTCTGGATGGGAGCAGGTGCCGTGCGAGCATGGGCTCTGTGAGCTCCAAATCCACCTGGAAGGATCAGGAGCTCTGACTGAGTGCGTTCACACTGACCGGGCGGGCTGCAGCCGCTGCGCTGTCCAGGGGAGCTGCGGCGGGACAGGGCAGGCCCAGCTCCGCAGCTATGCGGTGGAGAGGCTCAGCCCAGCCAGGGTGTGGTGCTCTGCTCACACCCACCGCAGAGGAAGCCAGGGGAGCACGGGGCGGAAGCTGCCGGGGACACAAAGAGAGCAGGTGGCGGAACAGACCTGAATCCAGAGGGGTGAGGTCTGAGCAGCACAGGTCAACACAATGGACGCAGGAAGTGGTAACCCCAGAAGAAAATGGTCAAGCAACACACATTTTTTTTAAATTTATGTATTTATCTGACAGATAGAGTTAGACTGAGAGAGAGAGACAGAGAGAAAGGTATTCCCTCCGTTGGTTCAGTCTCCAAATGGCCAGCACGTTCGGAGCTATGCTGATCCGAAGCCAGGAGTCAAGTACTTCTTCCTGGTCTCCGACGCAAGTGCAGGCACCCAAGCACCTGGGCCATCCTCCACTGCCTTCCTGGGCCACAGCAGAGAGCTGGACTGGAAAAGGAGCAACCGGGGACTAGAACCTGGCGCCCATACGGGATGCCAGTACCGCAGGCAGAGGATTAACCAAGTAAGCCATGGTGCCGGCCCCCAACCAACATACTTTCAAAGGATCCCCCCGGGCAGGCACTCGGCCTAGCAGCTAAGACGCTGGCCAAGGTCCCCTGCACCACATCAGAGTCCCTGGACACCACTCTGCCTCTGGCTCCTGACTCCAGCTTCCAGCTGATACAAACCCTGGCAGGCAGCCATGGTAGCCTAAGTAATTGGGTTTTCACCACCCATGTGGGCAACCGGCTCCCGGCTTCAGCCCTGGCCCATCCTAGGCCATCACAGAAATCTGGGAAGCAAACCAACAGACGGGAGCTCTGTGTGTGTGTGTGTGTGTGTGTGTCCCTGTCTCCTTAGCTCTCAAATTTAAATATTTGAATAATTCATAGAAAAAAATCATGGTAGAAAACAGAAAGCATTTGGAACCTAATGCCAAAGAAGATTAAAGATCAAATTGTGCGGGATGCAGGTAAAGCAGCCAGAGGGAGGCCGACAGCTACAGCTCGGGTGAGAACATGGACGCACAGTTGCCCGAGCAAGCCCAGGACAGGACAAAATAGGCCCCAAAACAGAGCAGGAAGGCACAGCAAGAAGTGAAACCTGTATGAATTACACCAAAGAGCAGGCACACAACAAGCACTGGGCCTGGGGCTTGGTGGTGAGAGGGAACACCCGCCCGGAGCTGGGAGAGAACTGGCAGGGAGAACCAGTGGCCACAGGGCCTTGATTCTTGCTGTGCGCGAAGCAGGCAGCTGTCACCCTTGAGCCCTGTGGGCGGGGACCGTGCTGGCTGCACTGATACAGCACCCACGGCACAGCCAGCTTCCTCCCACTGCCTATCTCTTGGCCTGCGCCCTCTGGGGAAGGCAGCTGCACACTGTGAGGAGACTGTAGACACAAGGGTGCCCAGCCATGCCCCTGAAGAACCTTCGTGGACAGACCACTGGGAAGATGCGGGAATCCAGAACAGTCAGAACCACGGCTGCAGACTCGGCGTGCGGAGGTCCGGCTGAGGTCCCGGTCACCAGAGTACCTGCCCCTGACCCACTAGGCTCCAGTGCTGTTGACATCAAAGAACTGGTGTGAGGAAGCAGAAGTCATCCTCAGAGAGCACTGCACCCCCGGTGCCCCCCCCCCCAAGCTCCTGTGACAGCCAGGACGATGCCGGGTGTCAGGGCGGCGAGGAGGGAAAGGCAGGCCAGCCTCACACACACAGATGCAAAACACAAGCCAGCTCAGGGCAATCACACGCGGGGGTGACCAGCAACTCACGAAACCCAAGAGAGACACGGAGGAACCCACGGGTGGCTCCGCTGACACAAAGTTCGACCAAGCGCACGGGAACCACACTGCCTGGGCGTGCGTGCCAACACAGTGCAGGCAGACGAGAGCTGGGACTGGGCTGTGACCATGGGGAGGAGGCTGCTCTCCAGGAGCCCTGACGTAGGCAAGTTCCACGGTCAGGTGCACACACAACACATGCACACGGCCTCTTCCTCGTGAAACAGGCAAGCAGCAGGGCGGTGCACACATGTACACAGCCCACAAGGACAACGGCTCCCCAGGGCATCACCATGGCGAGGGAACGGCCCCTGGCCACTGTACCCCACCAATGGTGACCACCATGCACAAGCCTGTGACAGTTGGTGAGGTGGCCATAGGCTTCATGTTCTCTGCAAAGGACAAGGCAGGTGCAGAGGAGGGAGAACAGAACCCATAGCAGCTCGGCCTAAGATCCCAATAGGCAGGCAGCGAGCCAGGCCAAGAGCTACACCCCTGCCCCCCCGCCCGCCTCTTCTGTTTGCCTGGAGCAGACACGTAGGACTGACTGGCAGGGTTAAAAGGGAAGAATGGACAGCACAGTGGACAACAGCTCCATGCTACCCTGGCCTCTGCCCGCTGGCCTGCCCAAGACCAACAGCTCTGCTATGACCTGGCACCACTGGCCTTCCAGAACCTTCTCGGGAAATTCTCTTCTGAAGACAGTGACCCGACACTAGCCAGGTGCAGGTGAGGGGAGCTCCCGCAGGGGGTTTGTACCCGAGTGCCAAGCAGCGCTGCGAGCCAGGGACCACTTCAGACCGAACATGCCTGCTCCCAGAAGCACAGAACAGGCTGCACTGGATGGATTTGCTCTGCCAGTAATAATCGTATTGATGAAATGAAGCAATTGTGTTTCCTTTTAAAGTGATATTTATTGTTATGATTTAATTAGACTGTGGGAATGAGAGCTTTGCTCTGCCAAGCACTGGGCACGCTCACGGCCTACCTTGTAGGGGCATGAGATCAGCTCCGTCCGGTGAGTGGGCAGCTCCACCAACACGCGCCCTGGCCAGAGTCGCTGCACTGCAACAGTCCTGCCTCTAGGAAGCACAAGGGCCTGGACGCCCACGGTGACCAGGACCATCA